TGATCTTGAACTTGAGATGCTCAGGTTAGTATAGATTTTTCAGTAACAGGGAGACACCCTTCCCTGTTGTAGCTTAGAATATTATGGGATAGCTCGCTGCTGCAAATCAAGGAAGAAACATTGAACACACTGTCTCAGAGATTCAATCTGTTATGCCACTGTTCTAAATGGTGGCCATTATCGATATTGAGAATTGAGAGAGACTTTCTCACCCTCATCTGCCAATTTAAATGGTAGGCAAGTAGACCATTTACATACTGCTCCGCACTTAGATATCAGTTCCCACTGGTTCAAATTGTCTCTTGGGATAAATGTGACTGATAAGTCCTCGTTTTTCTTTCCATTTATCAGAAAGAAAAGGACCTTGTCTTTCCTGTTTCTTTTGTGAAAACAATTGACTTATTTTTCTTCTATCAAAATATTGTATAGCCTTCTTCTTTTGACATACAAATTTCTGTTGATGTGTACATTCTGCACTGTAGTAAGCATACTATAGTAGGAGATGCATAAGCCCAAATGTCTCTGTACATATTCAAACATTATCCATTATTTTCCTGTCCAGTTGTATTTGGCTCTGTTTCACTTTTTTAAGGTTTTAACTTTTATCTAGACCAATTTACTGAATGTGTACAATAATTTGAAATAATACTTTCAAAATTTAGATAGCACAGTAAAAATGCTAAAAGGTTGAATTTTTTTTAGTCAGAAATCATTTTCATTAATATGTCAAGATGGTGCTAGAAAGTACACGTACCGTGTGGTAATGTAGGGTACTTTCGGTTTCCTATCAAGCTATCGAATTTACTATACAAGAATATGTTCTTTCTTTACTCCATATATATAAATGAGACGAAAGAAACTCTTTAGATTCCTTAAGTTTTTCTCATTGCTTTGAAAGAGCTCCTACTTCTTCCAGTCGATGTAGTCTTAGAAAAGCAAAGTGGCCTAGCTTTCCATGTTGTTTTCGACTCTTCTGAAACTAACTCTCTTTTGTGGTGTAAAAAGAAAACCTCTGCCTATAGCTGTGCAGCCATTTTGTAGTGTAACAATAAGTGATCGCCAAACTTCTCATACTCCTTGCACATGAAATACCAACTTACAACAATCTGTTTCCTCCTCATGTGATTTTCCGTCAGAGAGAATATTATCCCACTCTATGCAGCATCTGAAGGAGGTCACTTTATTTGGTCTTTGTGTATTCATATCTCCTTTCACCTTGTCTTCTTTTTCCTACCTAGTAAGACCCATATAATAGAAGCTCATTGAAAGTGTACTTGCATTGCTTGTTTCTTATATCCTCACCACTTTCTGTTTATAATGTAGATTCACGTCAACTCCTCCACTTCTTTTCATTCCCTTTCTGAATAGCGTCTTCTCAAGCTAGTTTTCGAAGATGCACCCTTAGTTCTTTTGTTCAGCAACAATTGCCAGATGAGCAATCACATAGTCCCTTCGATAAGCATGCTTTCAAGTTTAATTTCAGTTTCCACATCATATGTTGAACCAATTGTTTCCAGTTACAATTTCCAACAAGAATACCAATAAATCTTGTAAAATCATCTTTTCCATTCAATAATACCTTTTCTTATTGTTATTCAGTTACCTCATTCAACTACTGTTCATTTCTAGATGGTTCTGTATTTAGCAACTATCACCTCTTTTTTTGCCCTTTTTTATCGACCAAAAAAAAAAGAAAACTTTCACCTATTTCTGTACAGCATCACCTTATATGCAAATCTCCATATTCATTTTCATGTCAAGGCCAATACATCTGATCGGTTTCACCTTTTTCTGTACAGCATCACCTTATATTCAAATCTCCATATTCATTTTCATGTCAAGGCCAATACATCTGATCTCCTTACTCCTCCAGTGTAGGGGCTATATTTTCTCCCCATCAAATGATATATCTACTCCGTTCTTTCCTCTGATAAAAACTTCAGTGATTTCTAGCTAGATAGTTGATTTCAACGGCTTTCTCTTCTCTCTTTAGACAAGAATGATATCTTCCACCCGCTTAACATTTGTTCTAAATTTGCAATCACTTATTGCAATATATTGACAATATGCAGTGAATTTTTTTTAAAAAAAATTCCGCAAAGGATTGCTCATTGCTCATGAAGTACTCTTTGGACCATATTTAAATCCTTTTCCCATATGTGTATATTTTATTTTCTATGAGTTTAATATAGTAATATAAAGCCATGATGGAGTTGCATTCCAAATACGAAGACTTAAGAATTTATGCTCCCCATTGGTGCGACATAAGTATCAGAGAAACAAACAACTGACATGAGAGTCATGTCTTATAGTTGGACACAGTTTTGAAAATAAGGGAATATGACACAAGTTAGACAGGATCTTATAGTTTTGAAGTATATTATATGAAATAGGACCTAAACTAGTAAAAGACTATGTTGCTCTGATCCTTAGAACTACTGCCTGATGTGTGTTGATTCCTTCAAAAGTTATGCATTTTTTTGGAGGATCCGACTCGGTGCAAGGACATCTTTGGAGGATCTGAGCAACAGAGATGAAAAAAAACATTGTAAGTAATTAAAAAGATACAAAAAGAAACATAAAGTGAATCCACAAGTCTTTAGTAAAACATCCAAATCGCACCAATAGCAACATATAGCAAAATACAAAGCTCTGTTTCTTGGCTATGTTCAACAACAAAAAAAAATGGCTTCGTCTCTTGGCTAATTGGTACACTCAGATGCATCTCCTCAAAAACATCTGTGGTTGACATAGATTAATATAGTATTTAGTTAATTAAGGTTGAGGGACAAAGAAAAGAGATTTCTTACCTGTACAGATATGGTTGTATGCTGATTAGCATTGATTCTTTAGTTGCAGTACACGTGGTTACACCAATATTCTACCTTTGAAACAAGATGCCAACTTTAAACAGTTCACTGCTGATTTGGTTTCTTTTGGTTCTGGTTAAGTCTTAAATCTTAAATCTGCTTTTATCCTCATTAGGGTAAAAGAAGAAGAAGGAATTATGTGATGCAAGGTGACATTATCTCGTTGAATGAACTCTTTTTGACAGCTTTCATTTGTTTAATGGACCATAGCAGCTACCCCAGCATAACTCATTTCTTTTTCTGATATTAGACCATCTAGCCTCTGCTTCACACACACACTATTAGCTGAAATGAACTCGTTTGACTGAAGCATATTTGAGACACAAAGAAGAAATGTGTAAATGTGAAATTGCCATGTGATTTATCCAATAGATCTACCTGATTCAGTTTCACCAAGTAATGTAGCATACAAGATTCACGGTTGAACCGTCTATCTGATGTGCAGGTACTTGTACAGAGGTTTGTCTACTGGAGACCGCCCAACATGTGACCAATGTCTAAGGATCCATGAAAAACTAACAGAAAAAGCTGGTTTGGGATGCATACTGCGTTGTCTTGCTGACACTGTGAATACTGTGTGACTAATAAGCTGGATGAACACAATACTGTAGCAATCTGTACATGTCTTATCTTTGCATTTCAATTGAATATTGATGTTGAGATTGAGTTTTGCCTATTTTCAAAGGGCTGCTTTGTCTCCTTTAATCGTCTGTATTCTTCGCGACATATAACGTATGAACTGTACCAAGACAATTTGAGATTTCTGCCATCCTTTAGTGCATTTTGTGACTCTTGATACCAAGGTTGTTGATTGCATCTAAGAGTAGCTAAGCTATCGATGAGCAGTGGGAAATAACCAAGTAATTTCTTCATATTTGCCTATCAATGTGAGCATGCAAATAATATATAGTATTAAAGCTTGAATCTCAAATGATACGGAAAAAACCAAGTAAAATCATCACATTTGCCTAAATCTTGATGGACAAATTTATACGGTACTTGATTGGTGGGATTATTTACAAGTTGATCCAGACATCACACTTATTAAAAAAAATATTATAATTATCCAAACATACTTCCTCTGTTTGAATTCTACTTTTCATTTCAAGTCCGTTTTAAAGAGAGTATCTTTTTCTTTTCGCCAATTCTTTAATTTTAACATGCATATGACATGTTTAAGACCACAAGATTAAAGAGTTTTTTGATACATTAAACATGTGACCATAAGATTGAAAAGTTTTCTTTTAATGCTTAAACTTCATATCAAGTCAAAATCGACAAATAAATTAAAATGGAGGGAGCAAACCAAATAGAAGGATATTAAGGGGTAGGTTTAAGTTAATGTATTTTGTGACCTAGATGGAGAATCCTAGCTAGTCAAATACTTTTAGGAGTCCTTCGGTTTGAATACAAGTTAAGATAAGAAAGGATAAATTATCATAGGGATAGTTATGATAGGATAAGCTATGAGCGTTTGGTTTGTTGTACTATAAGTAATATACTTTTCATAAATATTAAGAACAACTTATTTGCTTACAAAAAAATAATTCATGGACGTGAAAAGTGAGGTATAAAAAGGATTTAAAAGAATAACTTCGTCATTACCTATTTTATCTCAAAATCAGTTATCTCGAAAGTATTATACCAGCCAAAAGGTGAGATAACTTATCCCGATATTACTTATGATAAGTTATCCAAACTTACCAAGCAAACAACAAATTAAATGGCACTATAATTTAATCGACTATTGAGTGGACCCCTTAGTTTAAGGTGCAAAAGTGGATAATAGTAGATAGCAATCATGTCCACAAGTGCCCAAGAGGAGTCCATGATTCTTGTAGTAAAAAATTTGGAATAGAGGATCTTCATGCAAAAAAGTATGGATATACTATATAATAAAAATAGTTAGTGAACACAATTATGTCTTCCCATTCAAGTAAAACCATTTTCCTACACAAATGAAATGAACAAATTCAAGAAACTGTTCCCTCTGAAACCCAACACATCATATCCTACTTTTGGAACATCAAATCATTCACCAACTAAAAACATGATCTTGTAATCATCTTCTTACTCTATAAACACTTCCCTACCCTATCTTTAGCAGGCAGCTCCAAAACAAGAGTGAAATTACATTTGTGACCTTTGCACATCGAGTGTTTTAGACGCAAACATTGCAGCCCATGGTTTGTTGAGGGGCACTGGCGCTTGGTGGAGGTGTGAACGAGAGGCATTGGCTCCGGTGACTGATGAAGAGGCCGCGGAGGATGATACAGCTACGCGCTCGCATTGAGGGCACATTGTGAGGGTGGTTGGAGGGCTCATGTTCATGTACAATTGTGGAGAAAGTTTCAACGCTCTAAGCTCACTAACTTCTTTCTGCAAACGTCTGTTTTCATCTGTCAGATTTTCGCAGCAACGCTTCAAGTATTCACAATCTACCTCTGTTTGCTTCAACTTAGTCCTGAATCATTCAAACCCTCAATAAGTTATTCAATGCTAAGAACGTTAAAAATTGAAAACCTTAAAAGTTATACACGTCAAGTTTAAATACTAAAATCGCCTCTAAACAACAAAGCCGCATAAAGTGAACTTTTTGTGAATATGAATTAGTCAGGCCTCAAAGCAGCTACCATGATAATTATTAATTTCAAATTATGAAACTTAAATTAATACCAAGAATATAGTTTGCTATTTTTACAAGACATTATTAATAATACATTTATGTTGTTTGACCAAAGAAAAATGGGATAAATTATTTTTTTTAATTATTACAAGTAAAATTAGGTTGTTAGACAATTTTTAAATTTTAAGGTGAGAAGTACTCACAATACATGCACACGTGTATCACCCGACAGGACATTACTTTGATTATCATCATAATTCAATTTTTTATAATGGAACACTTACTTACACGTGTGTCCATAATAACATGGAAGATTCATGCTACAAACGTGAAATATTATTCCAATACCAAAAATACCCTTGAATCTGTAAACAAATAACATACCTTGCCCTCCTGTTCTGAAACCACACCTCCACTTGTCTTGGCCTCAGATTCAGCTGTTTTGCCAGAGCCAATTTTTGCTTCTGAAATGTGAAAAAGCAAATTAATATTTATTCGTATGAAATTTTATCAGATTTTAATATCTTGGTTTTTTTAAAAGTAAAATGCATGATTAAACATAACTTGACAACGCGGTTGGTCGTGAAAATCATCAACTTTGGCCACATAAAATTACAAAAAAAATCAACTATTTCCGAGAATATGAAAAAACCAAAAAAAAAATAATTTCATTTTCAAATTACTCAAAAAAAATTAGAGGCAACTCAAATTTATATTTATAATACAACTCCAATTTTAACATCACTCTTTTTCAAATACACACAATTTACATGGCCAAGCACCTCCTCCAAATTTCAAAAATCAGAACTTCAAATCTTAAAAATTTGAGTTTCAACGTTAAAATTTATGGTGAAACAAGAGTTATTACACCTTTGCATTTATAAAATTTAAATTCATTGAGTAACTACATTTTAAAAAACAGAAAAATTGGGTGAGAAGTAAATGGTTCCACACAATAAATTCACAAAAGTAAAAAACAAAAGTAATAAGCCTGTTTTCCAAAACTACCCTTAACCCACAAAGTTATTTACGAAAACTACCACTCACCGGATTAAGAGTGTTATGCTCCTTGAATGTCTCTTCAAGAACGGCAGCTTGCTCTTTTGACAGCCGGAGTTTCTTCCTTGCCGCCGCATCTCCGCCGTCATCCTCCAGTGAGCTGGTGGCCCTCTCCCCTTCATTCTCTTCTCTGTCATGACTCCTCTTTCCACTCACACTCGAAACAGTGCTGTTAGGTGATGAAACCATTAACACCTGATCTTCTTCTTCATCTTCTTCTTCATCATCACACTCTATAATCATTCTCGCTGGTTCATTCATATCTATTCCCCCTCTTACCCTTTCTCCTCTCTCATCTTTTCTCCCTGCAAAAATTTAAAAAAATGGGGGTTTTTATTTTGACCCATAAAACAGAGCATGCATTCATCAATGGCAGAGCCAAGATTTTCACTAAGCATGAATATACGAAAACTATAAATAGATAAAATATAACAGTCTTAGTTGGTTCCGCCCATGGAATCCATGACTAAAACAAATGAAGAAAAAACAGAGCAAATAAATTTTGAATCTTTACAACTTTTACCTGATGAAATTTGATGATGGTGCATGAAAGGTAAGAGATTCAAAGGGAAAGGAGGAGGAGTTTTATGATTATTTTGAGGGCAACTCATGATTCCTAAGCTCAGACTCAAACCTAAACCATCTTCTTTTTCACCACTCATCTTTTTTGCTCTGTTTTTTTTCTCCTCTGAAAAAAAAAAGAATTTCACTTTTTTTCTTCTTTCTTCCCCTTTTTTACAAGAGAAGAAAGAAAATGGGGTTTTCTTGTTCTGGGGTTTGAAATGTATGTTGGCGTGGGGGGGTAGGGGAGGAAGAGGGGACAGAACGAAGAGAAATGGGGTGTTCCCTTTTGTAGCAGAAGAGTTGCAGCTTTTTTCCTTTGGCTAGTGCAAATACAGTTTGTAGGATAGGTCAGAAAGATTCAGAACCTATCAAATATATATACAATACACAAAAATAATTATAGTGAATCGAATTAAAAATATGAATATCGAATATCGAAAAAAGAATAGTAGAAAGAGATGCGTATATATAGAGAAGAATGGAAAATAGATGTTGAATGATGACTTATGTCAGTGGGTATTGGCACAATGATGATGATAGAGATTGGTTTTGATTACGCTTGGCTTTTTCTTTGTTTTTTTCTTCTCTGGATGTTTTTCTGTCTATTTATATTTTGTATATATGGGGGCCCTATTTTTAACCATGGTTGAAATTTTCAGATTTGAGAATGACTAAACGTAACTGAAGCTATTTTATTTTATTACAAAAGTAAAAAAATAATCTTTTGCTTTTATGAATCATCTGAATTGTAACTTCTCATTAAAAAGTGGCTTTTTTCTAGCGTTGACTGTTGACTAACGTGCGTGCTCTCTCGTGACACACTTTTTCTCAACCCATCTTTTCACACTCACGCGCTCCTTTTTCTCCTCAACCAAGCGCGTGATGCATCTGCCATTGTAAATTAAATTGATTTACTTTTATTATAATCTTGAAGATACATGGAAAATGTTATACTACTAACTTGTAATTTCTGTCGTATCGAAAGTATTGTTTAAATTTATAACGTATAATTGACATGGTTTGACTCTCATAAACAAAACTGACAAATGTTACTATACGAAGAGAGAAAGCAATTAATAATAGTTATGTTATCATAATTATAGGTTTGAATATTGAGGGGAGTACTTAATGATTTAATTAAGAGTTGTCATAATTATATGTTTGAATAGTGTGGGGAGAATTAAACTCATAAATAGATCCCTTGTTTATGTTACAGAAATAATCTTTGTAATGACTAATTACTTCACGATATTTAATTAAGTTTGCATTTAAACTGCAAGTTACAACTTCAACTTAAAGTTTCTGGACACTCTGGGCTAAAATTAACTCTTAATTATTACTCCATTTGTCTCAATTTATGTGATACTTTTCATTTTTCAAGAGTCAAATAGTTTAAATTTGATCGGGAATTTGCGCATGAAATCTTCAATTTTTTTGAAATTTATATATTTGTAAACTACGTAAAAAGTACTATAAGTCACAATAATTGATAATTCAAAATGTTTAAAAGATCTATGAAAAAATTACGATCAAAGATAGAGTTATTTGAATCTCGAAATCCGAAAAGTGCCACATAAAATGAAACGGGGGGAGTACTACTCTCTCCGTTCAATAATATGTGTCCACTATTGATTTTACACACTTCTTTGAATATAATAAATACAATATCTTGAAATATTATATAATAGAGAAATGAATATAATTAATGATAAGCGTAAATAAGGAAAGGGTAAATTTTTGGTGTCCTATCCCACTATTTTACACCATAGTGATGGAATAAGTTATCCCATATATTGGGTGGGATAAGTTATCACAGGATAACTAATCCCAGGATAATTAATCTTGGGATAACTAGTTCACAACCAAACGATCCCTAAATGTAAAACTATTCATTGATTTCATAAAATGGACAAGTATTGTTGGACATCTCAAAATATAGTATAGTGGACAACTATTGTTGGACGAAGGGAGTAATTTATTTTTAGACTTCACTACACTTATAATTTGGTTTTTTTAATCTCTCCATATTACATAAAAAATTATCCTTGGCATCAATTTTATAAATAGAGAGAGAGAGGGGGATGGGCTAATTACTAATGATGGTTATAAAGTAGCAACACTTTATAAATATCACTAAAGCTTAAAATATAGCGATGTCGAATTTAATGTCAATTAATTAGTGTCGATAAAAACTTTAACACTCTTTATTAATGTGTATATTTATTGTCTCTAAAAAAGAAAATGAATTATTCTACTCATTTGATCTCATTCTTCCATGGGAAAATGAATCTCAAATCTTGTATCTCATTGTTATATATTTCAATATAGTTTGTATAATAGGAGAGTGATCTGACAGAATTATTTGCTTATATTTTCTAATTTAATTTTTACTTTCTATTTCAATAAGTTTAAAAAGTGTATTTTATGTATATTTCTAAAATCAACTTATCTTTAGTTGAATCCCTAATCATAATTCAACCATCAACAAAATATTTTGATAAATGACAGCTTTTTAAAGAATTATTTACTGAAAATGTAGTGCTAAAACATATTAATTAGAATATATGTTTGATATGTATATGTTCCTTATTTTGAAAAATTGTGGTAGAGTAGTAAGTACTCTTTTATTTTTAATTAAAAGTCTTGAGTTCGAGTTCTCTTGGGTATAGAGTCGTCTTTTTTAGAAAGTGTTTTACCCCAGGCCCCAATATGGACTTTCCGATACGAAATTTAGATTTAGTCACACTTCAATATGAATACCGAACATCAGATGAGAAAAAATAAATATGATGTAACTAGTTTAATTTTAATATTTAAAATACAATGACCTAGTAAAATTAACTTTTAAGTAAAAATTTGTTTTAGCCCCTCCCCATTTTTTTTTTAATGTAAAACATCATCTAGCTAGTCCAATATGGCAAATATCACTCTATACTAGAGTAGAAAATATTAGTGGAGTTGAGCTAGACCCACCGTATTTTTTTATGACAATTGACTTCCAAAATAAGAATAGGATGATAATAAAAACGAAAAAATTAAGCAATAAAAAGAGGAAAAAAGTTTTATAAAACTTTGTGCTAAAAAAAGTTAGAGCCAAGCAAATTGGAAGAATCCAAAGCCAAGAAAGAGACCCAAGTTTTTAAAAATATTTTTAAAAAAGTAATTTAAAAAGATGGTAAAAGACAAGAAAAGTATCACGTGTTAGTTCACGTGATGAAGCATGGAGATGTTTTGTCGACGTGGCATTACATGTATGGGTGGGACCCACTGCACTCGTGCGTGTCACATTGCCTCCGACAAATACATATCTGTACAATCATTGGATACTCTCTTCTACACGAGTATTTCCTTTTTTAGTTACTACTACTAACCCCCACTCGCTCTATATAAACAACTGACATACACGCTCTTCGTATCGTCACGTTAGTTTAGCGTGATTTACATGTATCTAAAGACCTCTTTGAAATGAATAGATAATGACGATTGAAGGTGGTAGTTATCGATATGAAATGATAACTTTTATAGTGATGACAGTTTGTGTTTATTATTATAAATGGTGATTAGCAGGGGCGAAGGCAACATATAATCCGAACCCCCTCAACGAAAAATATTACTATTTATATATGGTTAAATTTATTTTTTAAATATGTATAATAGATGTTGAACTCCCTTCCACTAGTTTGTGTGCTTATTTCTCATATTTTGATTTCGCTTATTAAAATTTTTAACTCTGTCACTGATGATCAGTGATAGTAGTATGATAGTTAGAGAATGAGACTGTGATTATGTAAAAATTGAGAAGTTAGTTAGTACTTAAAATATCGGCTTTCTAAAAATACTTAAGTAAACGGTCTGTTTCCTTTGTTTCAATTTATGGAGTTCATTTTCTTTTAGTAAAATATATCACTTCTTATAGTTAAGAAATAATTTTAATTTAAATTATATTTTTATTTTTATTGAAATAACTTATAGCCACATAAATAGTCAGAAAATTTGAAATTTAGACCACAAATTTTAAGAAAATTCCTTCATTTTAGAACTTTTATATCAAATTAAAAAATATCACATAAATTAAAACGGAGAAATTTTTATTTATGATGTCAACATTTTGTTATGGGTGTCATTGTTCATCAACTCTAGTCAAACCACATTAATGGTTATAATATTTTATAAAGTTGAACTTCATTAACTTTCCGCCAGTATCTACTAAGGGAAAATAAATACTCCTTCCATTTCATATTAATAAAGTGCTAAATGGTCAGAAAATTTGATCAGAATTTGGTCAGAAAATTTTAAAAATTATAATATTTTTTTTATTTTAAATTAAACTGATATTTTTTCCATTTTTTAGTTAAAATATATTAAAGTTAAAAGGGTAAGAATGTTTAAAAAGGTAAAATAACATAGATAAAATATCATTCTGGCCAAATTTTCTGGCCAAAAGGATTTTTCCTTAATTGAATTGTTAAGGTGTTTCACACCTTTTAAAAAAAGATGATTAAGACATAAATTAGGCTTAACTTTCCATTTTTACCGTTATTAATTATTATCAAAATTATGATTAAAATAACTAAATATTAATTAATAACTAATTCCAATACTAACTAATGAAGGGTAAAATTGGAAAAACATTCTAAAAATAGTCTTGAAAATTGAATAATTAAGTGAATTTGAAAAATAAAAAAATGTCTCAACAATTCAATTAATATGAAATGAAGGGAGTACGGTTTTAAGTGTCAGGGCGTGGTGCAATGATTTGACCATTCCACCCTTATAAATTAGAAGTGTTGGATTCGAGTCCGGAGTATTGAGAAAATTTAGTTGAGAGTATCGCTCTTGAATGAACCATGTAATGTGCGCTTTAAATTTAGCCAGGACTTCAATATGAGCTCATAAATACTGCATTATTATGAATAGTCATTTGTCCAATTGAGCATTTATATATCTTTAAAATATACTATTAAATAATGCGAAGATAATAGATCATGTCCAAAGTTTGAAATTATTACAATAATTTCGATCAAAATTCAGATATATTTGAGACATTTTTCCTATAATTAATAACATAAACTTAGATTACATGGCATGATAATATATAATCACTTTCCCCAATTCTACAAAACTTTTTATTCCC